TTAATTTATTTATGATGGATTATCCAAACCATTCAGAATGAAGAGAGTGATTTAAGCCAAATAATTGTAGAAAAGTTTAAAGGAGATTCATCTCTAAAATCAGAAACTGTTAGATAGAATTTATTCAAGCATGTACTTTTAAGTTTCATGAGTATAAACAACACACCAACAAAAAAGTACAAACAACAAAAAAATTACCTCATTTTGAGATCAGTAGATACGTCATGTGATCCGTTGGTAGGTCAACATCGGGCGCTGATATTTATGAGATATGATGAATAAAACAGTTACATTTCTACAAAACATTTACATTTATAAAATCGATAAAAATGATTTGTTCTTCCTATTTGATCAATGAAAAATAGATATTTAGAAAATCCTCCATGCTTGTTCAGTGCTAAGAAAGAGTAAGCGCCAAAGGATGAAGTGTATATACAATCTTCGAATGTATTATACAAAATATATAAGAACAAATGTCACCAACTTGGAGGCCATGGAAAGGGAACAAAAGTGATCATTTGTTCCAATGAACTTTTAGAAGTAAATTTCGTAGAACTGTTTTTCTCATGTGATACGTTTTTCTGATTTTCAAATAACTTCTCGTTCATATACAATGCGCAAGTCACATTCCGAGGCAGTGGAGGAAATTTAATTTTCATTCCTTACACCTATGTTCGTTGAGGTAACCTGAAAATCAGGAGCTAATGGCATTATATTATTATTATTATTATTATTATTATTATTATTATTATTATTATTATTATTATTAATATTATTATTAGTATTATTAGTATTAGTGTTAGTATTAGTATTAGTATTATTTTCATTATTATTATTGTTATTATTATTATTATTACTATTATTATTCGCAAATCAGCCATCATGGTGCCAAATTACAATCCGTGCATCTCACCGAGGCTCAGACTTGATTATTGGGGTGCGGGAACGTTACGTTTTCTATAGGGGTTATTCAACATTTTAATGCTGATTTCATTTTTATACCCCAGGGTTGTTAACTCTGGAGAATAGGATAAAAATACGATGATGACGAATGATGAAATAGTCCCAAACAAACACACAGAGACACAATACACCCATGACCGAGGAGGAATTCGATCCCGCGATCTTCTGCTCCGAGACCGTTACGGCACTACTGCCTTAGCAATCTCAGTCATCTGATCCACTATGTATTATTTTCTTTTTAGCTATTAAATGTCACGTAACGTCCTAATACAGACTGGTGAAATTCTACAAGGTTTGCCTTGTATTTCGGTTTACAATTCTTATTCATTCAACGCTGTGGGTTTTCACCTCACAGCAAAGTGTCAGTGATCTAGAGCGTAAATTCCGTCAGAAGTCGGGTGACACGATATACCTCATACCGCTCCTAACTTCGCCCGCCAGCCCTGCCTGCCCCTACCCTCTCCTTTCTCTTTTATGGTCTCTTTTTTCATTCCTACTCTCTCTTGACCTCCACTCCCCTGTCGTGCTTCACACAGTCTTGTCCGCCCGTCCCGGTCTTCCCTTTTTCGCTCTCATTCCTATCCTCCCTTTCCACCCCTTCCCTTCCATGCCCTTCTCTGCGACTCTTCCCTCGACGCCTTAACTCTCCACGCCCATCTTCACTACAACCTTCCTCTCTTGTCCTTCCCTCCAGGCCCTATTCAGTTACACCCTCCCGCTATTATCATTTCCCGCCATGACATTCTCCGCCATACTCTCTCCCTCCAAATCCACTAGCCCCCTTCGCCCCATCTATCCTCCTTCGCCCCATCTAGCTTCCTTCGCCCCATCTAGCCCCTTTCGCCCTATCTAGCCTCCTGAGCCCCATCTAACCTTCTTCACCCCATCTAGCCCCCTTCGACCCATCTAGCCTCCTTCGCCCCATCTATCCTCCTTCGCCCCATCTAACCTCCTTCGCCCCATCTAACCTTCTTCGCTCCATCTAGCGTCCTTCGCTCCACTAGCCTCCTTCGTCACATCTAAACCTCTTCACCTCATCTAGCTCCCTTCGTCCCATCTAGCCTCCTTCGCCCCATTTAGTACCCTTCGTCCCTTCTAGCCTCCTTCACCCCATTTAGTCCTCTTCGTCCCTTCTAGCCTCTTTCGCTCCTTCTAGCCTCCTTCGCCTCATCTAGCTCCCTTCGTCCCATCTAGCCTCCTTCGCCCCGCCCATCCTGTCCCCGCCTCGCCCCTGAAAGCCGGCCAGTCGCGCAGCGGAGGCGGGGGCGGCGGGGGTCGGGAAGAAAGCCGCGGCGGCCTGGCGAGGAGCGAGCATAGCATGCGGGGCGGGCGCGCGCCGCATCCGTCAGCGCGGGGCGGGCGCTGACCAGCGCTGACGGCCCCCGCGCGGCGCCGGGTCCGCAAATGTTACCTGCGCCCTCGCGCCCTTCACCCCCCACCCCGCCCACCCGCCCGCCCCCCAGGGGACATCCATTTGAGGCGCCGTGATTGAAAGTGGGAGAGGGTGGCATCCGAAAAATGTCCCCCGGCGCCGGGCCTCCTCCGCCGCCGCCGGTGGCGACGACGGGCCCCGCCCCCGCCCCGCCAAACGCCCCCGCCAACGCCCCCGCCCCCGCCCCCACCCCCGTCCGCCGCCGTCCCCGCCCCGCCCCGCCCACCCCCGCGCCCCGCCCCCCGGTCGGGCGAAGGGAAGGATCCCCGCCAGTGAGGAGAGGCGTCTTCCAGTGGGGAGGAAGGGAAGAGGCGGGCGAGGAAAGGGCCACATCCTCTTGTATCCCTCTCAAGAGGCGAGAGAGACGAAAAGATGAGAGGTGGGGGACGAAGCGTCAAAGAGGGACTCGACGGATCGGGCGCACTGGCATGTGGGGAAGAAGGCGAGGAGGGCCGAAGTTTAACGGATAAGGGGCGTGATGGTGAGGGGAGGGGCAGGAACGGGAGGTGTGGAGAGAGCGCAGAGAGCTGTGTCGGGGGGGAGGGGTCGACGGGAGGAGCAGAGGTGGGCGACAGGGATCAGAACGGGGCGCAGGGCCGTGCAAGTCGAAGAAAGGGTTGTCGGCGTAACGGCCGCCCTCGCCGCGGCGGTCCCTTGTGTCTTTTCGGCGTTTGGGAGCGGGCGATCCCCAAGAATTTAGCGGGGGCGGCGAAGAGAAGAGCGCCAGTCGGAGGCTGGACGTGGACGCAATTTTGGTTCGTTGCGCCCGGATATGACTTTGGATTTGAAATCCAATGCGCGGTCACCCTTTTGTTAGGACAGAGTTCGAAGAGAAAATTGGTCGGAAACTCCATGTCCGACGTCGACGTAAATCCAGTCTATTTTTACCTCGGGTACTAATTTTCTCTTATTTCCTTCCATACCGAAGCTTCTGGAGGCAAAAATGTGATTCTTTTAAAAAAAACTTTTATTACAGTTTTAGAAATCAAGTACCTTCATTAATGACAGCAGGATGTCTTTATGGAAGGAAGAGTATGTTAGTATTCTACTGAACGCCTTTCAGAAGGAAAAGAATTGTATAAAAATCTTCTGCTAACAAATAAATATATGCATGTAGCTGACACTATATACAACGTATGATGATACAAGATGGCAAAACTCGTGTTTGTCTTGGGTATATGATTTTGATGATTTCAAATTAAACAAAAATTAATCAATTAATAAAATATTATTCTGAAAACCTTTCCTAATTTCTGTACCTCGTGAAATGAATAAAACATTTTACAAAAATAAAGAGCTTTTTGACTTAAAGTTTTAATTACTAAAATTCTATTTTTTAGTTTTAGAATGTGTTGGATTTTTATGCTATTCGTTACGAGAAAGTTAATAAATTGGCTACCTAAAAGTGAAAAATGTTTATTTTGGTTCATTCTGAATATTAGGGTGTAAGCGTAAGCAATATAAACAAAATCAAAGACTGGATAAACCTTTAAATGAAAATTAACATTGGATGAGCAATTGATATTATCGAAATGTACGCAACCAGAAACATACATAATTAAAAACTGGACACGGATTTGAAACATCTGCTTGTGAATTCGCATTTCGACACAGCGAGAACACACATGGTAATTTTTTTCTAGATGCATTTAAACTTCTGGCGTCATTTTTACGAATCTGTATTGCACAAGGAATTAGGGAATTTTCCAACTCGAAACAAAATTGCACACCAGAGGCATTCGAATGTGTGTTCACATTTACGCAGAGCCAGGGACACCATTTCACATAGGTTTCCCTCGGGCAACTCAATTGCTAATTTTCACGTTGCTGCAGATTTATAACTAAAAGTTTTTGCCGCAGCTGTGAGGGCGTGTAATGCAATTTTCAAACGATATCACATGCGGAACAATTTTCATAGAAATTAAGAGAATATTTACCAAAAAGTGGAATACGCCTGAAAGGCAGAATATGAATGTCAAAAGTAAAACTTATACTATTATAACCAAGAATTTTATGAGGTATGATAATAATCAACCCTTCGTAATTTTTAATATTTCAATTTTAATTTATTCAATACTTGTATCACACTGTATATTAGCTTTTGAGAGAAATGAAAGGTCAGGTTATTCTCATATTAGATTTTCCTATATTGAAAAGTATTTCTTAATTCACTTTTGGATTTTGTCATCACATTGTCTAGTTATTTGTGTAAAAGAGGGTAACTACTTAGAAAAAACATTTTGGAATCAAATTTGGAACAATTAAGACACTAACTATCTTAAGACTAATTGTTAGCCCATTCATAAGCTAAACGGATACGAGACATTACACTATCACACTTGTCGGGAGAGCAGATGGTAGTTTAGAGCGTGTTCGGACTGAACCCCACTAGGGGGAGATACATGGAGGGGAATATTCCCCTCAATCGGCGTGTAGGTTGGCGGCGTATCTTCCCATCCATAGGAGCAACACCGCCACCTACTGGAATAAAACAAACTAGATGAACTGGACTAAAGGTGGTAACAGTTGACGGGCTCTGAAACATGAGTCAGCCCACCCCAGAGCTGGAAGCAAGGCCCTCGATAATGAAGTGTTGCGTGCGCAGGTGTCGTGGATCCGGCGGCGCGACGCGCACATCCTCACCGTGGACCGGTACACGTTCATCGCCGACGAGCGCTTCCAGGCGTTCCTGGTGGAGGCCACGGACACGTGGACGCTGCAGATCAAGTACGTGCAGGCGCGCGACGCAGGCCAGTACGAGTGCCAGGTCAGCACGGAGCCCAAGATGAGCCACTTCATCACCCTCAACGTCGTCGGTGAGTGCCCGCGCCTCCGCAGCCACTCGGCGGCCCCGCCCTCGCCACTCATCCCCTCGCCCTCGCCTCCTCGCCCGCGCCCCCTAGTCCTCGCCCCCTAGCCCACAGAGCAGGCGAGGCGAGGGCAAAGGCGAGGGGCGAGGGGCGAGGGTGAGGGCCGAGGGGCGGGGCTAGGGGCGAGACTGGGGCGGAGCAGGGCGAGGGGACGAGGCGAGGTAAGGCGGAGGGGTAGGGCGAGGGCGAATGGCGAGGGCGAGGCGAGGGCGGGCGAGGCGAGCGCAAAGGCGACCGTGAGGGCGAGGGGCGAGGGCGAGGGGCGAGGGGCGAGGGGCGAGGGCGCGAGGGCGCCGAGGGTGCAGGGGGTGG